AAAAAAAAAAAAAAAAAAAAAAAAAAAAAAAAAAAAAAGAAAAAAAGATAAAAGAAAAGAAGGCAAATTAAAAGACTTAATTTCCAAAAACATCATGCTAGTATCAATAGGTACATATGCAAGCATTCCAAACAGGTCAAATAATCAACCTTTATGTACAACTGTTGTGATAGTCTACTTCACAAACCAAGAATAGATACACAAATCACTGATGCTGCATATCTCTGAGCCTGTACTTCTGTGACAAATCAGAAACTAGCATTGCAAATTTACTTTTCTCCCCCCTACGCTATTCTCAAATCGTTTATATCGTTGTACAAAACTACTTGAAATACTTGAATTTCAAACTTGATTCTTCTCTGCGTCTATGACAAAGACATTCCAATCAATATCAGCTAATGAACATTAACCCTTTTACAACTAACTGTGGATCATGTAACCAGAATCCTTTTCATGAATTAATCATTATTATGATCATTATTATGATTAATATTAATTGACCATTATTATCAATTATCAATTAGCTTTCATACAGTTAATCACTAAAAAGACATATTTCTTTTTAAGTTTAAAAAAAAAAAAGAATGAATAAATAACGTGTTGCAATCAGAAGTATTACTCCATCATAACCCAGTGAGGTAACATCTTTATTAACATCTTAGAATTCTTAAATGTCTCTATAAGTCTCGTTCACAAGTCAATCACCAACAATTAACTCTCACAACCTTGATCATTGAAAAGACATGCATTTCTTTTCAATTTAAAGAGAAGATAAACAAATAAATAACGCTCCATCAGAAGTTAACTAGAATCCAATTACAATCCAGCAAGGTGGACTTTCATTACATTTCAGAAGCGGATCCAGTGTAAGAGGGTTAATGGACAAAGCGCACAAGAGTACACGAGAGCTCACGAGGGCCACCGGGAAGCATCACTGATTCCTGCGAAGCATGCAAAGAAAAAAAAAAAAGAAACAGGAGAGGACAGTCAGTCATCTATGCATTCCCGTCACCTGAGATCGGTTGCTTAGCCGGGGAACCGTACCCCGCCGGGACTTGGGTTGGGATACCGTAGCCGACCATCGGTCCGCCAGGCATGACCGGCTGCCCGGCAGCAGCCATATTCGTAGCCATATCGAACATGCCAAAACCCTGTTGCTGTTGCAGTGGCTGCTGTGATTGTTGCGCGGCGGCTGGCAGCTGCTGCTGCTGAGCTATGGGTGCCGGTCTCGACGGAGACCCGCCCAGTGCCATACGAATGCTATCGTTTAAATCGTCGAACGCGCTCTTACTGGGAGCGGCGGTGGCGGTGGTGCTGGCCGCGACAGGCACTGTCCCAGTGGATGGTTTTCCAACCGCCGCTCCTACTCCGGACACTGTCGGCGAGGCTGGTCTAGGCGCGCCGTTCGTCGCTGTCGCGGGAGGCGGCGGTCTGGGAGGCGGCGTGGCAGTGGACTTACCGGAGGCCAGAGTCACAGAGGATGCCGCCTCCGCGGCGGCGTCCCCAGCGACAACACCCTCCGCGGTCTTGAGCACTGCAGAGTCGCTCCCAAAGAGATCTGCCTGGCCGCCAGCACTGAACAGGTCTCCGCCGGTTTGCCCTTGTTGCTGGCCATCGCCACCACCGCTGGCACTGGCAGCAACGTTCGCGGCACCCTGCTCGAAGAGACCGAAAGCGGCTGCGTTTGACTGCGTCGGCTGGGAACCGAGGGAAGGGAAATCGGACATAAAGGGATTCGGTACGGATCCGGCCGTTCCTGGAGCACCAGCTTGCGCAGAAATCAAGGTGCATAAACGGTTATTAGCGTTTCTCGCTCTCTTTCTCTCTTTCTCTCTCTCTCTCTCTCTCTCTCTCTCTCTCTCTCTCTCTCTCTCTCTCTCTCTCTCTCTCTC